AGTTTGGTGAGTGACAGGTTAAGCCCTGCAATTTATACTACTTGGTTCAAATGTACTAAGTTTAAGATATTTAATACAAATATGAAAATATATAAACTAAAAGGCATAAAAAAAGAAATGTGTTAAGCATATATCACATAAAGAAATAACAAGTTCAACATAACATTTTCTGGATGCAGAAAGTCCTTAATTAAATCTAATACAAAAGAAGGTGAATGACAAAATAAGATTTGTAAATAACACAAAGTCTGTCAATTGCCAGCCACATCTCCTCATACAACAGTGTTCAGCAAGTGAATTTCTGAGATGTCAAGTATGCCTTAAACTGTAACACACACCTAGAAACTGTAGATGAGTTGTAGTTGCTTCTAAGACATGATATATTATACATGGACTTCTGAATTTTCATCTTCGTCCCATTCTAGTAGGCAACTGGAGTAATTCTTTATTTTTGAAACTTGTGCCCTTAGCTAAGATAAAGAAAAAATTAGATCTTTTAGAACTACGAATCAGTTCACATTAAAACTGTAGAGAAGACTTTTTTAAATTACTAGTATGACATGGTTGTAAAAATTATTCAGTTCTGATTTCTTATAATTTATTATTATACTTAGCATTGAATTCCTATCATTAAAAATTTTTAATTTCACAATAAATTTCATTATTATTATTATTTATTGTTTAACAAATGAAAAGAAAATTACCTGTGAATACTTTGTTCATCCTTTCTTTGTATATATATCAGGGATGAAAATGGACAAAAAAACAACAACTGAAAATGTACAAGTATTTGCTTCAAGCACACAAAAGTTACAGGTCAGAGGTCCAGGGTCCATCTAAGACCCTAGCATTTCGAGAACTCTAAATTTTCAGAGAAGCAGTTGTACAAAAGTAAATCATCATAGGACATTCTCTGCACAAGTTAAAAACATCTGAAAATTTCATAATTATATGAATACATATAAATTGGTTCTGAATATAAAGCTCAAGGGCTACATATAATGAGCTAGACAAATAAAGCCTACAATCATAACACGTTTACAGTATTACAAATGCACTCCATTATCCAAGCATACTTTATGATTCATTCTCAATAACCATCAGTATGACTGCATTTAAGTATTGCAATGCTCATGCACCTATACCTCAACATAATTTTTTTTCTCTATTTCAATTTCTTTTTTTTCACATTCAAAGCAAAAAAAATCTATGTTTTTGTGAAAAAAAATATATAACAATGATCCAGTATAAAAGAGATAGTAATATTATTTTGCTGCCCTTAAATACTTTATAATGTTGAAATTTGCAAAAAAAAAAACACTTTAAAATACTTGTATTTATTGTTTATAAAGAAATTAAATGAAAATATTAATATTTTTACAATATTCCAACTTTTAAATAAAACTGAAATTTCTTTTCATCAGATTATTATAGAATTAAGCCATTCATCAAGGCTATTCTTCTCATGTCGACTATACAAGTTTGGATACGAACATAAGTTGCACAGCTATTTACTGAGATACATATTATACACAATGTTATTGCAATTTAAAAATATTTTATTATGCAGGCTTTAGAGCTGGGTGATTAGTGGAATTTGATAATTGATTAATCGTTGAGCTCATTAATCGATTACATTAAACTAATCAAATACCCTCATGAGACTTGGATATTTGGAATAAATTAAAATACTAATAATTTCAGAAACACTAATTTTCATAAGTTATTTATTTTTGTGAGTTGTGACACTACATGATTAATCTCAACCTTGAATTTATAAAATGTAATAATGAGAAATCATAATGGCAATACTTCAATTACCAGGATAATTGGAATGATCTAAAATGATAATCAGGAATTTTGATTAATCTATTATTTTAAATGACATTAATCAAAGTAATCCAAGTTCATACATATTTGATTATATCTATTAATTGAATTAAATGCCCAGCACTAACACTTTTATATGTGCATTCTTAACTTTCCGAGTAAATATATTTTGAATATTTAAACATACAAAAACAAAAGTCTTTCTGTGGGTCAGTAGTACATTTATGGATTTACGACACTAAAATATGTGGTTCAATTCCTTGTGGTGGACAGAGCACAAATAGCCCGTTATGTAGCTTTACACTAACAAAATAACAACAAAAACAGAAAATTAAACTGTTTAAAAATACTTGCATGTACTTACTACCACAGGGTCAAGGTTACAATAATACTAAATTATGAAAATTAATATGTATATTTTATCCATGCTGATGTTAACAACAAATAGATCTGATGAGTGAAGTGACAAAAGTTGCTACTTTACCCCTAAATATAGTTTGTTACTTTAAACTGTGATCATTCACTTAAATATAACTTATAATACTGTTAATAATATAAATTCTTAAAAACATTTGTATTAATAAAATTTACTTTTTTTCATTGAAAATGAAAAGATAAATTTACTGAAATGATAAAATGCTATAAAAATATTTAATAATTTTTGAAACTAAGCCTTTTTTGGTTTGTTGCTTTATATCCAGAATATCTCACATGTCTTACAATTCATACATCCATCTAAATGAATCTATCATTCAACTTTATGGTATTCCTATACTAATGTATATTTATAGTGTGGTAATGTGACCTTTCACAACTCTGCAACTTTACTAAAATATGAGATCCTCCCTCCTTGCCTTTTAGTGCTTATCTACGTACATTTTAACCCTAAAATTGTGTCAGTTGTGCAAAATTTTTTCTCTTCTTGTGGTAACTTTCAACAATTTTCCACATAAAACTTTGCACAAGTTTTTGCTTTGAAAAATGCAATGAAACTACCAAATCACTGTTTTGGTGTTGATGAAATCTTCCCAAAGCATACTACGTTTTCTTAAAGCCATTCCATTTTGACTGTTATTTGCATTGTAAGAATAGTTTTCAACATGCTCATGACAACTAGGGCATTTTGCACACCTAGTGGCAACAACAGTACATTTATCATAATTTTTGTCTGTTGAAGTCTGATAAATCATATTCATATCTGTCAATCACTGAACAGTCTACAACAATGAAAGTGGTTACAATAAGAACAATAAAGTATCTAATTAATTCTATTCCTTCCCCTCCTCAGTTTTTTTTTCTTCTCTTGTTCCCTTTATGTTTGGATTGTAACACTTTTGGAAGACTTTTCTTTCTGATTGCTTTAACTTCAACAGAAACCCAGTGTGTCTGCATCCACAATGCTTACATTTCATAAAAACATCAAACCTTTCAACCTTACACTTACAACTGAGACTAGGGTAGTCATGACTCTTGGAAATTTTCCCACTGTATACTGAGCAGTTTTTAATATTGAAAACAGGTCTTCTTTAGGTAAATTTCTTTGCAAAAGGCAATGAACATTTACCAAAATCTTGACAAAAAGTGGGGTTTAATTCATTTTCAAATTAAAAATTTCTCTGCAAGAGACCAACTGACGAGCACAAACGTTTGGTTGAATGAAAGTTCTAATACTAATTTATCGTTTAAAGGCAATTTTAGTGCTTTTTATTGCTTGCCAGATATTGTGATGAACAAAACAGTGACTAATTTAGGTATTCTTGACTCCATGTTTTAGGGTAAATCACTTCTGATAAAACCAAGATATTGAATTTTTTGAATGTGTTAATTACAATAAATTAAAGCTATTAAAATACAAAATTGATAAAACCACATTTTGGTTAGTTGACTAACAAAGTGGCTTTTGTGACCATAAAAGCAAATATTTTTCAATTTAAGTCAAAAGTGAGGATAAGCAGTGAAGATCAACCCCAAGTCAAAAATAACTTGATGAAAATAGGGAGAATTATCTCCATCCTTAGCACAAACATATATCTGTTATTACCCAATGACTAGATTAAGAATACTTTGTCATTCACCAATTACTAATTTCTCCATTCAATCTGTACAGTAATACAAAACTGTAATTATACTATGCAATGGTCTTACTGTTAGTACTAAATAATTCTGTGCATTACTACCGATAATTAAGCAAACAATATGACTGGTGGGCCACTCTATTCTCAACTGTGCAATCAACTATTTTTTAATTAAGAAATTTCCACTAGTAGATTTTTATATCTATTACTTTTGTGAGGCAAAACAAATTTTGTATAAACATGTTGCCATCTAGTGTTATGATATCCCATGCAAACTTATTTCTAAAAAAATAAATTATATTCCTGTTATCAACAGCTTTAAAATTAGAGAATATGAATATCATGGCTAACTTATTGTCAGAAAGCATTTATGATTCCTCAGGCAGACAAGAAAATTCTCGATGTACAAATTATCTAGCTTTTAATAAGTTCAAAGATACAAGCTTCAGGTTATCTCCAATATCAGTTGTGAATTTCCTTGCTATGACAAAATATTTGATTTATGACCTAGTGAGATCATATTGTTGTTTTTTAATTGATATTTGTTAAAGGTTCTTGGAATTAAAAAATTTGTAAGTGTAAGAAAAAAATGTTTAAGTAAAGTTCTTTAAGTATGAATTCCCATTTACCTAAGGCACAATCTCAAGCATTTTTGAAAAATTGTACTTTTGTTTTTATCTTCTACATAACGTATTATCACAAAAAATTTTACTTTCTTGAATAAATTTATAAAAAGGATGGAAATAAAAAAGCAATTTAGAAAAACTTTTTAATTAAATAAACCTCTAGTTTCAGAGCATTCTTGAGAGAAAACGCTGTACACTGAATAATAACAAAACCAACTTTCCCGAACAAACAGTAATTTTTTTTATCACAATTTATCACCATTGTGTTAATCTTATCAATTTAAAGCAATTACTGGTTATACACTATGATATATAAAACAATTAAAACAGTTTTTAGTAAATTATCAAATACCTACATTGGAGATATAAGATCAACCTTAAATTCTAACAAAATATAGCAAGGCCTTTATCACTTTGATGAAATATGCATTCATCCTGTTGACCAAAAACTTAAAAGTATCATACTTACGGGATAAAAGAGTATCTGGTGGATAACGGAAGGCAAAAACCCAATCTTCTTCAACTTTTAATACATGACCTGTTATACGTGCATAATATTCGTAATTCTCTCGTCCGAAAAGGTTGCTGACCCCAAAGTTGTCTATCAAAAACTTCATTATTCGAGTTGCTACCTGAACCAAAAGTACGAAATGATCAGATACAGGCAAATTCTTTTTCCAGTTGAGTAAAATGTTTTCATTTGTATTGTTAAAAGTTGAAATGTATGGAATTTTAATAATATTTTCCTTTTGCTATGAACACAAACTAAGCTGAAAATATCAAAGGAATCAAATTTTAAAGCCAAATTTACTTTGTTTCTTTACAAGGATATTTTTAATGGAACTATCATAAATAATACCAATAATAAATTGTTATTCCTGCAGAATACAAAATGTACATGTTTAAAATAATTTCCTGACATAAATTTAAAAACATTATTTTTGGTAACCTCATAAAATATTCAGAATTAAAAAATATTCCATAATTTACACAACTGTTTAACATAAATGCAAGGTTTTCTGATCATCAAATGTTTCATAAAATTCCTATTTGTAGTTTTGTACTTCAGGTAGTTTAATAAGATAGTAAATGTGGCAGCTTTAGATACATTTTCACTATGACAAATTAGAATAATTTCAAATAATGCAGGACAAGAATACTTTAAACAATGAGAGTTGTAGTGTTAAATACATTAAGATATAATGTGTACAAATCATTCATAAAATCACGAACTACTGTACAGAATATTGTAAAATTTGGCAGTAAAGATTAAAAGTCTAGCAACCATCACATCTTTCCACCCAGACTTGAAGTATTCCATCCAATAGATATTATTAAGAGTTTAGGCCTGAGAGAGAACTATGTCTCGTATCATCAACATCAGTTAGGACCAAGTCCTGTCAGTCGCCATTCTTATCAACCTTGTCCGTACTGTTTTGTCTTCAAATCTAGCATACTCTTCAACTTCAAATGATGTCTCTCTCTTCTTTCAAAAGCATCTTTTATTCATTTTACCCCTCTTATTTGAAGTCTTCCAGGTGGTCTTCTTCCTTATTGTTCCCAATTTATAAACTTCTTTGGGTATCTATATATTTCCATTCATTGTATACGACTGTACCATCTCAACTTATTTTTTCGATAACTTCCATGTCCATTCTGGGTCATCAATGATTAGACCAGTTGATTCTGAGGAGTGATTAATATTTCTTCAAGAGAAATTAATTCATTGTTGGCTTGTTAGGCTTGATGTGACTTCCCAGGACTGCTGAATAGTGCCATCACAATACCTATAGCTTCCTTTCAGTAGCAGATTTTCCACTCTAAAATTCAAAACAAACTATAACTAATAATTGAAAAGTAATTTCTTTCCCAACCTCATTCTTGTATACAATTGTTTGATATTTCCTAAATCTTTTTTGATTTCTCTCAGATCACAGTAGTTCACTAATGATATAACAGACACGAAAATGTCACCCATTTATTACAATCATGTTTTCCATCCTCGGCAAAAATATATTTGTAAATTTTAGTTTAGTGATTCAAAGGTTTTCTTGATATCACTGGACATCACTATCACATAAAAGGGGAATCTCTTCACAAAAAATATACTTCAGTGCTTTCAACTGATAATAGTAGAACTTCAACTAACTGTTTTGAATTGAAATTTATTCTTCATTTTTGCTAAATTCAATCTTAATCCCAAATATTTATTTAATTTGTACCTGGTAGGTAATTTTTGTCTAGCTTTTTCACAGTTGGTCTATATTTCTTTTGTGGTTACTTAACAATAACAAGTATTAATCAGTTTAGACACCACTACAGTTATTCGTTTAAAAGGTTTAACATCTTTAGAATTACTGGGAGCTGTTCATATAAAGCCCCAGTTGTAAACTAACAGATTTTGAATACCACACATCCGTATTAATGACAATTACACAAAAACAATATTCCATTTCAAAATAAATGTACAAAACAAAAAGAAAAAGCCTTAACCCATATAAGCTTCATGTAAGCTTGTTAACTGTGCTTGTTACTCATAAAAGGCAAAGTAATCATAATACACTGGCTTGTGACCCAAATAAAGTGGTCGTGTTTCAGATTATGATGTGTATGCATAAAATCCTTTTAGTTTTTGCATGAACAATGTGTAGGTATTTTTTCACCTACAATGTAACAGTAGTCAATAATAAAATTATAAGTGAACTGTAAGTCAAAGAAAGGAAACAATATTGTTTCTGTATACACAGACATCCATATTTATGCATACAACCTTAATTTAATTTCTTTAAACATTACTTAATTACTTCATATTGTGTTGTATCACAGTAATTAATCCACTTTCTTCTTGATGGCTGTATTTGAAATTGACATAGCATATGTTGCCTTGAAAAAATATAAACACTAATCACAGAAGACAGGTGATGGTTTATACAGAGGGTTGAGTACATTATATTACAAAGATTTTGAATATGTAAGTTAGTGTGTCAAGTGACAACCACAGCTGATATAAAGTTACAGTGGAATAGCATATATCATAACTGGGATGCACGGGTACTAAAATTTGGCTGAATACCGGGTCTGAATACTCGGTCGCTAAGCTATGGCCAGGTGTCAACCGGGACCAGGTTCTTTTCTTGCCCTCCCCCCCCAACAACAACATACATATATTACATTTAACTGAATAATCATCAACAGAACATTCAAGTTTTTCTTTCAACTTTCAATGCCTAGTCTCAACTTCTCAAACTCTAACCTCTATTATTCTCAAAACCCCCACCTTCTCCAAAAATCCACTTCTCAAGCCATGCTTGTTATTATCAACTAGTGTTCTCTGAATCTCCAATTTTCAGCGGGCAGTCAATTTTTTTGCCCGGAATATGTTTTCTTTAACTTTCAGTACTGCATTAGTTGCCACAAAGATTAGGGCTCAGATGCCCAACTTCGACACTCGGCTGGAGACGAGTATTACCAAATAGCCCAATACCTGGCTGGGTACCCGTGCATCCTTAAAAATAAATACATTTTGACATTTCTCAACATTTTTTGGGTAACTTGGTGTACTGAAAAGTGAATACTTTTGGGAAGGGAATGTAACACCCCTTTTTTTATGCAAGATATTCATACACTCAGATCATAATGATATGTTCAGATTAGGAATTTACAAGATGGGATATCCCTTGTATTTAATGACATTTAAAAAAAAAGGAATAGGGATCAAATTGGGTAACCAGGACCATTCAGAAAGAGTCCTGCAAAAACTGTACACCAGCAATGGTAAGTAAATGTGGCATCTTGTAACTGGTGAGAATCCATGAACATAAAGATCAACAGTAAACGTCATCCATGTGCCACCAGAAACAACATGCAATATAATCAGAAGAATCTCCATGTGGAAAAGCAACATGACAAATGTATATATATTGCTTCACATATCTAAAGCAGCTATCAAATGTAACAGGGATTCATGCTATACCATAAGAAGACATACCGATCAAGTCATCAGACAGTACCTATGGATTTCTCTGCAATCAAACTGTAGAACTTGGAACTGGAAAACTCTCATCCTCATACACTAGATGGATCATGAAGTACAGTGCTTTGGACATGACAGCCTTACAGTGGAGCTATTTGCAACTGGATCTATGCGCTAGGCCTATTGTTAAGATTAACAGTGAACAGACAGAGCATGACTAGATATAGTGGCATGGACTGTAATGACATGGTGAGGCTCCAAAATCATTTTAACATAACATACTCAATCTCTGAATTCATGCATAAAACTGCAGATTAGAAGCAGACACATTAAGTCTTATGATGTAGACCGTGTGTTAGTTTTCAGTTTTTATATGTTGCTCTTTATATGAACCAAAAAATTACACCCATAATTAAAATAAAAAGAAATTATATGTAAATTTTTGTCGATTGTCTACAACATGAGAAGTTCAATATTACAGCAACATCATAAAACAAACTATCCAGTAAAATTCCAGCCAATTCAACGATACAGTATCTAAAGAACAATGTATGTGTGTGTTAGAAGGTACATGCAAGTTTTTTAAAACAGTGTCTGAAATTAAAGATTTTTCTTAGTAAAATAACTTTGAAAGTGAATCATAAGTAAGAGTATATTATTATGACAGTTAATTAATCAATGAAATGAGAATGGTGAATTATGTAAGATGAAAGTAAAACTTTCAACAATGCAAGATTAAGAGTTTTGTAACCCAAAAAGTGAAAACCAAAAGCATCCAGATTCTATTAAAATCTTTATATAGAACCCTCAGATTCCACTGTTGTTCAGTGCATCATGTTTAATTTGAGACTTATCCCATCAAAATGTTTTGAAAACCATGTGCTCACAAAAAAAAATCTACCTAAATGTAAGTAAAGCTGTTTTGAAAAATTGCACAAAAATCCTATCATAAGAACAAGAAACCAAGTCACGGATTATACTTTTGTCCGTATTAAATCATTTTATGCAGAGCTTTTAATTACACTTTTCAACTAGCTTGATTAATTTCAACTGTGTATCTTCTTTCTCTTTCTTTAATGAAGAAAATCATGAGAAAATCTTCAGGTGAAGCATTCTATTAAACACATAATTGCATCTGCATATCATTTTAGTACAAGTTGAGGCAATACTGAAATAAAAAATGTCAGAAACTATGACTTCTGCAAACTAACTTTTAATATTACAGATACTAAGTTATTGAAAAAAAGAATCATTAAACGAGTATGTAATATACAACAAAAAACAAATACTTTTGGACAAATGTGTTACAAAAAACAAAGATAACACTCTTCTTAAGGCACTCTTCTTATTTCTAAACCACTCAAACAAAAAGTGTATTTACAATCGATTTTTACTTTTCAGACTTGTTAAAGGCAAAATTAACCCTTTCCAATCCACCAGAAGCAAAGTAGTACCAGCTTTAATCCTGCTACTCTAAAATTATTAATAACTATTTTTACAAAAGGATTATACTATTCAAAAGAACATGAAAAATCATTCACATCTAAATAAAATCCAAGTTTAACTTTTATTAAACAAAATATTAAAATCAGCAAATATTTTAAAAGCATGTTCTTAGTTGTCACAATCATGTGATTAAAATGCTTGTTAGTCTAATTT